AGGAATAGGAGTTTCTTCACTTCTGGTTGTTCTGAAAAGTAATCTTTCTCAAATTCACATTTTTTTATTCAATTGGATTTATAATTATTTTAATAAAGTTATTTATACATATATGTCAATATATGTATGCATATTTATACATGAAACTTCAGAATCTAAAATCAGTTATAAATAACCTCTATAAATTTTTCCAGTTCAATTAAATTCAATAACGTTTACTGTATCTAGCAGTGAAAGGTACTATTCTAGGCACTCTAAGGATTAAAGATAGGTATCATTTGTTGCTCACAAATAGCTGATAGCAAAACATGAAAGGGGAGGCATGTAGCGCCTCTCATACATGGAATCCTGTATTCTACATTTTCACAAAGAATCATAGATCCTGACCCACCACCAATGAATTTACCTTACTCTTGTCATACAGTTGATGCAATTAGCTTAAAGTCTTTTAATTAAATAGCATTGTAATGACTGTCACAATAAAACAATCCCTCCTTCAACTTATGAAGCACTTTCCCTTAAATACTCACACATCAGCGGACAGAGTAGGGCATACATAAGAAACACATGTAGCCAGAGCAACTAATGGCTCCATCACTGAAGGACTGATTATCAATGTCACCTGATCATGCAGTTGTACTGTTCCGTGGGCCTGCTTCCTATTAGGTTTGGTACCTTTCCTGCATGTGTTGCTCCCTGCTGAGCCTTGCTGATCTTAGATTAATCTCTAGTTTCTGCTTGGCATGATTGCTCAGCTGAGTGTTAATTCCTTTACCTCAGATGTTGTAGTCTCTGTTGGCCACTGCTCTTCACTATCAGTTTTGGGGTTCCTCTCTTCCAGACTATACACTGCACTCGTCAGTAACGACTAGAACCTCTGTCTTAAGAGGAGACTGACTGACAGCTCTAACATAGCAATAGCAATTATATTGATACCCACAGGAGTTCAGAGTCTGGCAGAATATCCACAGGCTAAAATTACATCTTCTATTTCCAACACCTATACCTCTGTAAAGAAGTCAGCCCTTAAGGCAGCTAGGTGGCACAGTGTATAGAGCTCTGGCCTTGGAGCCAGAAGGACCTGAGTTCAAATCCAGTCTCAGACACATAACACTTACTAGCTGTGTGACCCTGGGCAAGTCACTTAACCCCAATGGCTAACCAAAAAAAAAAAAAAAAAAAAAAGTCAGCCCCCAGTTGCAAATATCCTTTAAACTGAGGGTTAGACCTTCCCAATATCCTCTCTGCATTTTAATGCAAATGAATTTAAGCCAGAAAAAAAAAAAGGTAAGCTCAGCCATGATTCACCTATCTGATCAAAATTCTTGTTCATTTTTTTATGTGTATCTGTCAGAGGCAAAGGCCTGTAGTGGTGGTGCTCTATTCTGGCCATCCAAAAGCCTCACTGTAGTTTTCAAAACAGATACATATGTAATATATGTAATATACAAAGAACATAATATAGATGTTTCCCCTGATTTCAGGCAGGCAATGAATTAATTAAAATGCAAAGAGGGAAGTTAAGTGACTTGCCAAAATTTACACAACTAGTTAGTGGTGGAAGGAACACTAGAATTCAGGTCTCCTGATGTTAAGGCAAGCTAGCAGCTCAAAACCACAACATCACCCTCTCTATTACCACTAAGTGGCATTTTTTCAGGGAAAGAACAACCAAGAGCAGAAAATGATTAGGCTATCTCCACCTATTTTTTTTCCTGGACCACAATATGAAGGAAAAAAAGAAAAGTTCTTATCAAATAACCCATAAACCAGCAAATGAACTGCTACAGCATTTCAAGGGACATTATTTGCAATTTTATTATAGATCATTGATACGTTATCTGATTGTTGTAATAAATGTCAACAAAGTAGCCATTACCAAAACATGTTCCACTATATGGTATCTTGAGTAGTATTTTCAATTTTATTCAACAGGCATTTTTAAGCTCCTACTATGTGACAATTGTGCTAAAATGTCAGCATAGGCTTTCAACAAAAGAGAGAGACAGAGTACAGAGAGAGCTGAGAAAGCTCAAACAGTACATAAAAGAGACAACATAAAACCATACAGCCAAGCTCTTGCTCTAGTGAAGTAAGCAGAACAAACATAAAGTCAAATATTTGGCTGGGTCACCTGAGTGAGGCTTCTCTCCATTAATATAAATGATAATATAGCTCACATTTCAAAGGTTGACAAAGCTCTTTCCTCACAGTAACTCTGTGAGGTATGTATTACGAGTATTCCTGTGCCAATGATGAGGAAATTGAGGCTTACAAAGATTAAGTGATTTGCTTAAGGTCACACAGCTACTAAATGTCAGCGGCAGGTTTCAAACACACATCTCCTAACTCCAAATCCAGGAATCTTTCTACTATACTACGTTTCCTTTCAGTAACAATAATCTTCACTAAATGAGACTTGACAGTTCATACAAGTAACAGATTTACCTATAAATTAACAATACAGAACAGATTCCTGTTCATAATGATACTCAATAACAGCCACTGTTATAGAAAGTTGTTGTTATTGCTGCTGTTGCTGTTGTTGTTGAGTCATGTCCAACACTCCATGATCCCACTGGGGTTTTCTTGGCAAAGACGCTGGAGTGGTTTGCCATTTATTTCTCCATCTTATTTTACAGATGAGGAAAGTGAGGCAAACAGGGTTAAGTGACTTGTCCAGGGTCACACTGCTAGTAAGTGTCTGAGTCCAGATGTGAATTCAGGAAGATGAGTCTTCCTCATTCCAAGGCCAGTACTCGTTCATTGATTCTAGAGACTTAATACTCATAGTATCCACTATGCCGTTATTTCATTCAAATATTATACTATCAATGCTTTGCAGGGAGATTAATACTAGGATCTTTTTTATTCACGTCAAGTCAATAAGCATGTATGTAAGGTATGCTCTATTTGAAGATGAAAAAAATCAAAGTCCCTTGAGAATAATTACAATTTAGGAAGGCAGTGCAGTCTTGAAAAGAATGATGTTATTAACGTTAGGAGAAATGGATTCAAATCATGACTCTAATATTAGAAATCAATTTTACTAGATGTGCAACCCTGGATATAGCATTAGACTTCTTTGAGCTTCAGTTTTCTAATCTCTAAAATGTAAGACCTGACTCACATGGTGCTGTAAATAAAGTATATTAACACAAAATTATGTTAGAGAATAATCAAATACAAAAACAAAGTTAAAAAGGAAAAAAAAGCATGTTCCAAGAGATTCAAAGAGAGAGGGATCATTTCTAGTGAAGGATCAGAGAAAGCTTCATGGAGGAAAAAGACCCTGAGTAAAGTCTTAAAGGAGAGGGGCATAAAAATAAACAGAGATATGGAGAAATCCATTCTAGCCTTAGGGCATTATTGTGTGAAAAAGCATGAGGGTGGGAGATATTTTTTGAATTACTTACAAATTGACAGTAACAGCACTTCCTGACAAAGCATGTAATACATATTTTGGGTCTTTTAGGTCAACAAGAAAAACAATGACGACCAAACTGCAAGAATTTACAAAATTCCATCCAAGGGCAAAATGAAAGACAGAAAAACCTACATCAAGTAATATCAGGATTATTCTTTGCTCTATTGTATAAAATATTATACTTCTTTATGAGTGTTTTCAAAATGAAATAGTTACATTAAAAGAGGAAAAATCAAAATTAATTAAAATATTCTCTAAACAAATTATGTTTCCTTGAATTCTTTTAAGAATTGGGAAATGAACATTTTCCTTTACCCAATAATCCAAGGAAAAGACTTAGTAATGTTTTAATCATCCATGTAAGTTTAATCCTATTAATCATGGCAGTTATTTAAACCCCGCATTTATGCAGATTGTTCTGAATACAGTTTCCTCTAATTTGCAAAGGCTATTGTAGCAACTAGGTTGAATTCATACTGAAATGTGCCTAAAGAGCTTATTGTTATATGTTCATTTTTGATAGGAATTATATGAGGACAAGGATTTAAGCTAAGGTTAAGTTAGCTTTCGAAGATTAAATTCAAGACACATACCCAAAGAATGCTAAACAGCACAAGATACTACATAGCTAATAGGTTTTTGCATAAGCAATTGAGGTTTATGATACTGGATTTAAGAGGAGGGTTTTAAGAACTTCTCCAAAATGATCACTTATGCATAGCCATTTTTCCCCAAAGGTAGCATTAGAGCATGTAAGAAAAAAAAATGATTTATTTATTGAGGAAATTGAGGGGATTAGAAGAGCAAGTGGTAGTGGAAATTGAATGAACCACACTGACTCCATCTTGTGACTCAATTCTGGAACTAACTTGGTTCTCTTTCTGTTGAAATTGGGCCTAGTCCAATTTCTGACTTGTGAGAAAACTTTATTGAATTATGGCAATTGTCAGTGGATTTTATTCCATTGTTTGAACCAATCCCTGCAGATCAGGGAAGCTGTACCACTTCTACCTATTGCTTACAGATCCTTAAGTGAGGACTTAGTTTATGCTGACCAGAAACCCAGTCAGATCCAAAGATTGGTGCAAAAAGCTTTCTCACAATTGTACATCTGAAGTAACCCTTGTGTCTTATCCAAAAACTGGCCCCATACTGATCAATCTATTGTTCCCATGTTCCTTTGATTGAATGTGAACATTTGGGAGGAATGGGATGCCTCTTTTTCTGACTTCAAGGAATTGCCCCTGTTCGCTCTCCCCCTACCAACTTGGAAATTCCCTAACCTTTCCTCCAATTAGAAAGTAGATTACCTAATTTTGCATCCTGATTTTTTCCTTTTAATTGTCCTTATCTGATTAATTGTTTGTAATGTATAAAAGTCTGTCTTCCCCTCTATCTGGGATCCAGTGCCAAAGCTAAGGAGGCCTTGTCCTGGTTTGTTGGGCAATTGCTATGAATTACTTAATAAATTAATATGCTCAGAAGCTTGAACCTTTGTTTCCTCAGTCATTTCATCTTTCACCCACCACATTAGATAGTTAAACAGTCTTTGGAACATTTTAAAGGGACTTACCAAGGTGGCACAAGTCAGTTCAATAGTATCTACAGGTGGTGCAGGGAAGCTATTAATTTCTAGGAAAAACCAGACTTTTACATGTGAAACACTTCCTTTGTTATCTGGAAAAATAAAATCACAAAATGTTTCTATTAAATTTTCCTAGTATGACTTCTCAGTATCTAAAACACATAAACATTCCTATCTTCTCCTATTACCACGAATCAGACATTTCTATATTATTCCTTTAGCTAGCTACCATAAATTACCCTAAGGTAAATTCCAATTGTATATATAAGTTTTGATGGAAGAAAATGTGGCAAAAAGAGAAATGTCTAGCTCATGGGGTATTATGGGAGTTGGCCAGTCCAGAACAGGAGGCTGTTGGAGACAGATGGGCTAGTGTTGACAAGTGATGCAGGAGTGTGTGAGAGTCAACTCCTACCCACCATAGTCAACGGTTAAATTTTCAGTGTGAACACTTACACTTCAGAAACTGGCTGACTACAAATCAGCATTTGATTTGTTCTTTTGTTGATTCCGGAGACTTAAGAATGTGATGGAGAAAATGTTGATAATGAAGATTAAACTCAAAAGTGTGTCCTGCATAGATCTTTTTTTTTTCAGAGTAGATCGTTTGAACACTTACCAGCACTCCCTTGCACTGGAGCCACTTAAGGCAAACAAATTAATTCACATTTTGTCCCAGGTCTCACCTGATCAATGACTAAGGATGTCTAGACACCAATTTTAAAGACAATTTATAAGCTTAACTTTGGCAAAATAATAGCAAGTAGCTAGATGGCTCATACAGCAGATAGAGAATGTTGGACTTGGAATCAGGAAGACCTGAGTTCAAATTCTACCTCAGCCACTTGCTAGCTACTTGGAACTTGCCAACTCACTTAACCTTTTTCTGCCTCTGGTTCCTCATCTGTAAAATCGCGGTAATAACAGTACCTATCTCACAGGGTTGGCTTTGCAAATGTTAATATACTCCATAAATGATATCTATTATTATGATATAACTAATTCAAGAGAGGACACTGGTAAATGAGACCATTTTAGGACAGCATTTGCAATGATTCTATTCTCCAATACTTTATTTAATTTACTACATTCATATAATAATCTTATGCTTGCTTTCTACTTTTCTTAAAATGAATGATCTGATAATTTTTGAACAAGATTAATTTCATTGCTGTATCTTTAAGGGAATCTTAATGTTTGTCCTGTGGAATTGCTTTTGCAAAACCTGCCTGTTTCCTACTAATACCCTCTTCAAGTATGCCCTTAAGCGCATCTAAATGATCATCACATAAAATTATAAATATAAATATGTATGTACACATATATGTATGTGTATGTATATATGTGCATATAAAAGAAAACTATTTAAAAACTAAAGTGGTAATATTAAATGGAATAATTTGGGAAAGCTAAAAATAATTAAAACATTCACCAAAATGTTAAAAATGTAGGTTAGTACTTGGTAATGTTGTTTTAGTTACTTAAAAAACTAAACTATATTAATGCCCAAGATTTTTTCCCAGCACCTTCAGTATCCTTCTCTCCTTAAGATAACTTGTTCATTTCAATGAGCGTCCAATGCCTTCATACTTGGGTCATGGTGGATCATCCCTATACATGCTTAGTCAAATTCAGTTGCTTTTCCCATCTTTGTCTTCTTTACTACCTTCTCTGTTTATGCATCTGGACTCTTATAACTATAATGGCACTATTGTACTTGATGGCCAAGTTTGTTTTAAAAATCTTTCCTAGATCTTTCCCATTTTTCCCACATTTGTTGTCCCATTTTCATCCTTAAATTCCTTTGCGATGACTGCTCACCTGGGCTTTTTGCTTATCCTTCTTTAAACTTATTTTCCTTCTACTGTTTTTTTTTCTGTTTTATGAGGCTACAGGGCTCATAATCGTTGATCATCCTTCTTTGCTAAGATTTTGCCAGAGAGATTTTCCTCCACACTTATGTTGGCAATAAGTTAAGTGTTTGCTGACTCAAGAGCTGCTGGGGTTTTTCTGTTTTCCTTGTTTCAGCAATTGATTCATATTGACTAAGTTACTTTATGAAATTACAGTAGTCAGTATCTATGTCCTTTCCCTATTTTTCATCAATAGTTTAAAAGTTCACATCCAAGTTAATTTAACTGCTTCTCATTTTTATTCTTTTTTTAACCAACATATGTTGCTGCATAAACTGCAACTATCTTCATGATAATCCTTTTTGTAATTATTTATCATACATAATGACTTAATGGCTCTTGAAATTAAGTTTCTTGCTTTCTTTGGTCAGATAATAAAATCAGCTCTTCCAACTCCATTTGCTTTTCCAAGGAGAACCTTTAAACTATTTAGATTCCATTTAGATTCATACTCCTTCTTTTGTCTGCTTCAATTAATAGTGAGAATATTAAGCTGATATTATCTAGTTCCTCAAGCCGTATTTCCACTAGTCAATCATTGGATAAGTATCTCACATTTAGAGTGTATATAGCCAAGTTAAAACTTATAGAATGCCTAAGAACAATGCAATTCACATATATAACCTATATCAAATTGATTGCTATCTTAGGGAGGAAGGAGAGGAGAGAGGAAAGGAGAAAAATTTGAAACTCAAAATCTTATAAAAATGAATGTTAAAAATTATCTTTACGTGAAATTTGAAAAAACAAAATACCATTAAAAGAACAATGCTGTTCTTAGCAGTCGTTTTCCATTTTTAGTCATTGTCAATATAGAATCAGAAAAGGAAAAGGGGAAGAGATTTAACATTCTTATAGGTCTAGCATAATGATGATGAATCCTTTTATACTCACTAGTTCATTAATTGGAATATAGACTTACTTTTTTTACTAGGACTATACCTATCCTGCTAGAATCTGCCAGAACTCACATTCTATAGGCATAGCCTTTAAGAACACATAATCTCCCTCAACACAGGTATCAAAAAAGTAATCTGTGGGAGTAATACTTAATAAATAATAATGCTAATAAACTCAATCTGATTGTAAAAAATGAATATCAGGAAATATCAGGCCTAGCTCAGTTGCTATTTCTTCCATGAAGCCCATTCCCCTAATCTAATTTCTAGGAGAAATTATCTCTTTCTCCTCTGATTTTTTTTATTGCACTTTACTTATACTTTTCCAATTAATTTATTATATTCTAATTTGTATCATAATATTTAGATAGTGAGGTCCTAGGGGGCATGGATTCTCTCTTCCTATTCATTTATTTACACCTCATAATACTTAGAATAGTGATTTCCCAAGGGAGATTATTAATAAATGTTTATTGCATTCAATTATTCATGTTTTAAAGGATCTAATTTTATTACCCTTTTATTATTTAACAAATTAAACATTTACTAAAGCATTTAGTATGTGAAAAATAATATAGTCCCTGTTTCTTGGGAGTTTACAATTTAATAGGGATATTAATAGGTGCATATAATATGTATAACCAGTACTGCTATGATGTGTGAATTTATTCCAATATGATTAATATACTAGGAAACATTTTGAACATAACTCAAATTTCAAGTTGGCTTCTGCCCGACTTTTTGTCTGAGAAACATTAAGAATGCAGAAAACGGAACCACCTCACAATAACTTACAAAGTACAACTTTTTCAATGCTCACAAGTAAACTTCAGGTCTTTGTCAAGGTAAAGTGTTAAATTAATTCTATATTCCAGTCTAGTAGGACCTGTGATCAGGGGAGGGTTAGTACATACCACCCACATCCGTACTTCCTTTCATTATGGCCTCTAATCTTAGTCTGGGAATTGAGGTCTATCCAACTTGCTAATACAGCCAGGGGTTCAGGCCTAGCAGCCAATAAGGCGACCACTATTAATTGCAGTATTTATGTATTTCTTAACTATTTAACATATATGACTGTGCTATCTTTTTGTTTTTTAATTAGGTTCCTATTTTTATTAGTCACTGACACAGTTTATCTACTTATTTATTTTCATTTTCAACATTCACTTTTATAAGATTTTTGAGTTCTAAATTTTCCCCCTCCCCTCATTCCTCCCTAAGGTGGCATGCAATCTGATATAGGGTATACATTTACAATCATATTAAACATACTTCCACATTAGTCATGTTGTGAAAGAAAAATCAGAAAAAAATGGAAAAACCATGAGAAAGAAAACAAAAACAAAAATAAAAAAGAGAGAGAAAATCACATGCTTCGATCTGCATTCAGAATCCATAGTTTTTTCTCTGAATGTAGATAGCATTTCCATCAGGAGTCTTTTGGAACTGTCTTAGATCATTGTATTGCTGAGAAGAGCTAAGTCTATCAAAATTGATTATCGCACAGCATTGCTGCTGCTATGTACAATGTTCTCCTGGTTCTGCTCACTTCACTAAGCATCAGTTCGTGTAAGTCTTTCCAAGCTTTTCTGAAATCCATCTGCTCATCATTCCTTGTGAAACAGTACTATTCCATTACATTTATATACCACGATTTGATCAGTCATTCCCCAACTGATGGGCATCCCCTCAATTTCCAATAAGAGAGGTGATATAAATATTTTTGTATATGGGGGTCCTTTTCCCTTTTTTACGATCTCATTGGGATACAGAGTTAGTACTGCTATTGCTGGATCAAAGGGTATGCACAATTTGATGGCCTTTTGGGTTTAGTGCTGACATAGTTTTTGAGTGTCGTACCCCTAATCTTAATTTTCCCCACGAGTTCTATGGTTTATATTACATAATTTGGTATACTGGGAGCACATGACAAGTTATAACTGGCTACTATATAAGACTGAAGATGCTAAGGGCAAGTATAATAACAGGGAAATCACTTTGATCTAGGAGGAAAAAATGGAAGCCTTTAAGGAGAAGATGGTATCTGAACTCATTCTCAAAAGAAGAGAATCATTGCAACGAATTGATATGACAGTGGAGTGTGAAATAAGTTTCAAGTATGTAGGTATTAGTCTATGGTAATACACAGAAGCAGAAAAGGGAAGGACAAGATTTAAGAACAGCTAGTATTCCAGTTTCTTGGAAAATATAGTGCATGAAGTATAGTGCAATAAAAAGGAAACCAGGCTTTTTAAATCCTCAAAAGCAAGGCTTAGG